TATATTGGTAGTATTTAAATTACTGATAGTTTCTTTTTCGGTTAGATTGGTGACAATTAGGTTTAAGTCACACACACAAAATTGCCTCAGTATTTGGGTAAGAGAACAAGGATTAGTGATTTAAATTTGTGGGCAGGCTGACCAGACCATAATAATTTACATAATTAGCTGCCATTACTCTGCACATGAAGGATTTGTTGCAGTCTGTTGCCTGTGGCTGGGCTGGCTTAATTTATTCCATAGACTTCCTTTGGAACGGTAGCAATCGTGTTTCATTTAATAACTTATAGGTGTTTTGAGTCCTTTTACCAGTAGGTAGGGAGAGTGTTGTAGTTTATTATTTTTAAATATTTAGTAAGTACTTTTATGTCTTTTTTTCAACGTTTCTAATACTTTTGCTATTTCTAGACTGTCTGAATTTATGCCTAATTGGACTCTAGAGAGATGTGAAATGATTAAATCCCTGTTCATTGGAAATTACTGTTGATAGGCAGGGAAATAAAACGTTGCTTCCCATTTTTAAAAAGTTTTTACAGGTTTTTTTCACTCCCAATTATGTCACCATAACAACAATTTAATATTCATTCAAAATTTTGAGTCTGTTACATGCTGGTCCCCCAGCTTTCCACTGTGGCAGTTATTATGTTGGGGGGTGGGTTGTGTATTTTCCTCCGTCCTTGTCCCTGCCGCAACAAAGAATTGAAGGGCAGAGACACAGTAGTGAAGCAGACTAAAAGTTTTATTTAAAGTTACTTAGAGAAAAAGCAGGCGACCTCAGAGAGAGAGCAGCATCCTGAAAGGTTGAAAAAGAGTTTAAAATTAAAAGGTTGCGCACTTAGAAAGTGTGGGTGACCTCAGAGAGGAGCACCCCGAAAGGTTGGGGGTTCCCCCTTTTAAGGATTCTTTAGGAATGTGACTAAGAGCTGGTGGTGCGAACTTGATAAGTGTTACATGTGGCTATTTAAAAAAAATTAAATATTAAAATTTTAGTTCCTCAGCCATATTTCCAGTGCTTAGAATAGTCACATGTGGCTGGGAGATTAATGTTGTATTCTGTTGGAACATTACCATTTATCACAGAACGTTCCCATGAGACAGCAGTGCTAGATACTGTTTTAGGCACTGAGTATGCAGCAGTGAGTACAACACAATCACTATTGTGGAGTATAGATATTAAACTAATACAAAGGAAGATAACCTGTAAATAGTTTGTCTTATGGTGATAAGAGAAAGCTAATACTAAGTAGGGAGCATAGGGAGGGTCACAATAGGAAAGTTCTTAATGAGAAGCTGACTCCTGAGCCAAGATCTGAAAGGAAACGAGGAAGAGCTTCCAGGGAGCAGCAAGGCTCTGACTTTAGTAGCATTCCTCATACTGAAGGAGAGGGAAAGGGCATCACTGTACCATGTTATAAAGAAGGCCTCCCTACTGTATTTACTGTTTGAAAAAAGCTATAACATGCTCTGGTACACTTTTAAAGGATCACTCGCTGCAGGGTTGAGAATAGTGCAGTGAGGCTACTCAAGACTGTAGAGTATTACAAGCAAAAAGTAATGGTGACAGGTCAGAGTTTGCTGATGGGTTAGATGTAGAATATGAGAAAGTGAGGAGTTAAGGATGACCTGTTTGGCCCGAGCAATGTGAAAAAATGAGTTACGATATTACTAACATGGAAAGCTGCAGGAAAAACAGGCTTAGCTCTGAGGATATCAGGATTGTGTTATATTAATTTTGAGTGGTTATGTTAGTTTTGAGAAGACCTATTGGATATCCAGGTGAAGTTGGATCTACAAGTAATGAGTTCAGAGAGGTTGGAGCTGGGGATGGAAATTTGGAAGGACACAGTTTTTTAAGCCATGATCCTAATAGATGGCCTTCCCTTTTAGGGAGTAGAATATAGATAGAAAGCTGCAGGGACTCTGCTGTGGTACTCGTAGCACTTAAAAGTCATAAGATTAAAAGAAACCACTCAAGGAAATTGAAGAGGTAGGAAAACCAAGAGTTAGTGCCAAATGAAGTGTTTCAAGGAATTATTTAACTGAGTCAAATGCCTGGTGATAGGTCCTATAAGGAAAGGACTGAGATTGGATTAATCTCAAAATGGAGGACATTGGTCAGTTGCCGAGAGTGATTTCCTAGAATGAAGAGGATGAAAGCCTGGTTGCAGTGCTTTCAAGAGAAAATAAGGAAGTAGAGGCATTCTTTCAAGGAGTTGAGCTATAGAGAAGAGCAGAAAAATGAAGTGGAAACTGGAAGGATAGTGAGAAACTGTTAGTAATGGCTTTTAATTGACTGCTTCTATTTATACATACAGGCATACTTAGGAGCTTGCGGGTTGGGTTCCAGACCACTGCAATAAAGCAAGCCAAGTGAATTTTTTTGGTTCCCAGTGCATATAAAAGTTAAGTTTATACTGTAGTCTATTAAGTGTGCAGAGCATTATGTCAAAAAAATGTATATACCTTAATTTGAAAATACTTTATTGCTGAAAATTGCTAACCCATCATTTGAGCACTCAGTGAGTCATGGATAACAGATCACTGTAACAAATAATAATGAAAAGGTTTGCTATATTGCGAGGATTACCAAAATTACACAAAGTGAACAAATGCTGTTGGAAAAATGGTACTGATAGACTTAACACAGGGTTGCCACACCTTTAGTTTGTAAAAACCAACCAACCAACCACCCAAAAACCCATGTAATATCTGAAGCACGACACAGCAAAGGTATACCTGTATAGTCTTTGTTTTGCAGTGACTTGTGAAATGGGCATGACAGTTAAACCTGACACATCCTCCAATTTTATACTTGATAAACCAGGACATTACTAGTTTAGATGGTTCACATCAGTGCTTGCTCTTTCCAACCCAGGCCATACTGACTATATGCAAGCTTGTGAGATACCTAATCCTGGCTGTATTGTACTGGGAGGATTTTAAACAAATCATGTTATTTTTCTCTTTCCAACGCCTTTTAATTAGTATACGCTCACTGTTATTTAGAAACGTGAAGACTAGTTAATGTGTATGTGAATGGAATTGTATTTCTTTAAAGAGCATGACTGACTTCATCTGCATTCAAGAATAGTAACATTCAGAATACTTAGGAAATCATAAGTCACATGCTGAGGAGCTTTATTCATGTATCTTAATCACAATGAAAAGCTGTTAAAGATTAATCAGAAATTTCTGAATTTGTTTTCCATGTCACTTTAAAATTTTTCAGCTACATCTCTAAGAAGAAAACACTTAGCTTTCTTTAATTACCATTCTGTTCTTACGTGGAAGTGTCCTGGAAGGAGGAAAAATTGTCTTTCTTAGACAAGTATGTCTAAGTTCTTAGCCTAAATCAATAATTATCTAGCTTGAGCTTGCATCAGAATCACCTGAAGGCTTAAAAACACGGGTTGCTAGCCCCACCGTGGAGTTCCTGATGAGATACAGTTTCCAGGTTGTGCTGATAGTCTCGGCCAAAAGCTTTGACATACTTGAGCCGAAGTCAAATGACATTTGCTGAAGAAACCGGGACTGACAGGAATCTTACATAGTGACAAAGGTCATCCACATTTGAGCATTGGAAATGTTTGATTAAGCAAAAAACATACAGGATGGGGGGTGGGGTGTTTTACAGTAAAACCTTTTTTCTTTTGTGACCTGAATAAATTGAAAGTGATGGGATCACTACTGTGGCAGTGTTAAGTGTCTCGGGTAACTCATTAGCTATGGGTAATGATAATTGTGTCACTTTGTAACTACAGGCTTGTCTCAAGATCCATTCTTGGAAAATTTATTCTTCTGTTTGATAAACTTTATTCAGACTTGAAACTTTGATTTGAGTAGGACTGTTAGACATTGCTAGTAATTCAAATATGGTAAAACATGAACATTTACTGAGCCATTTTTGTGTGTTAGACATCCTGCCAGCTTCAACAGAGGCTTTAGAGAGAGAAGTGATTTGCTCAATCAACATAGATAGTAGTGGCAAAACTGAGGATTAAATTCAAATAACTCTCATTTTAGGACCAGACATTCTTAACCTTTGTACTAAGCAGTCTCTGAGTAATTTGAAATTACTCTTTAAAAAGCTTTTATGAGCCACTTTTGTCTATTTGATGGAAGTTTATTTTTTTGCCTTTTTTTTTTAATGTTAGGTGCATAAAGAGACAATAGATGCTGTACCAAATGCAATACCAGGAAGAACAGACATAGAGTTGGAAATATATGGTATGGAAGGTATTCCAGAAAAAGACATGGATGAAAGAAGAAGACTTCTTGAACAAAAAACACAAGGTAATACTAAAATACATGCTTTTTTCTTAATGCAGCTTCACTACTGAGAGGAGTCCTACAATTTTCAAGTATAAATTTAATAGTAGATGTTAGAATTATTCAGAATTCCAATTTTGAGTTCTAGTTTTTCTTTACATCTTACATTTGAGGTTGTGTATTTGATTTGTATGTATATATAATAACATTTGGATCATTAAAAAATTTCAGTATATTTTTATTTGTGACTGAATTCCAAGTGGAATTAGCAAGTGTTGAGTCCTTTGAAAATAAAAGTTGTTTTGATTTATGTAACCACTAATTACAATTTTTCTGTAGTACTGTTATTTGACTTAGAATTTGCAGCCAGCTACTATCCAGATGATAGAAGCTGTTATTGATGTTTTGTTTTGAAAAGCATTGCAGAGAAGTCAGATCTCTATCACAATTTTACCTTTTGAAGTGGAATAGAAAGCCCTTTTATTTAAAAAAATAAAATATTTTATTTCTAAAAATTAAAAATAATTTTATTTAAACATAAAACTGAGTTAGGAAAATTATTTTCTACCTGTCAAAACAGGGAAAGAATGTTAACCTTCCTGCTTAGTATAGATTGAAAACTTTTGAAGAGTAAAGAACAATATTAATTGAATTTTTTGAGAAGAAAAAACCACATGAGCCAATTGCTCTGAAATAATTTTTTAAAATACTGAATGTCTTAAATTTGCTGAATTTTCTTTTTTTACTCTGTGGGGAAAATTAATTAAAACTTTCTTAGCAGAGAGTCAGAAAAAGAAGCAACAAGATGACTCTGATGAATATGATGATGATGACTCTGCAGCTTCAACTTCCTTTCAACCACAGCCTGTTCAAACTCAGCAAGGTTATATACCCCCAATGGCACAGCCAGGATTACCACCAGTTCCTGGAGCACCAGGAATGCCTCCAGGTAGCACATACTCCTATGAGTGAACATTCTTAGGGCTTTATGGATATTGTATAGAAGATTAAGTTCTTCCTCCTAACCCTGTAATATTAATTTGTGATGTTTTGTTGGAATTGTTCATAGGCATACCTCCATTAATGCCAGGTGTTCCTCCATTGATGCCAGGAATGCCACCAGTTATGCCAGGCATGCCACCTGGGTAAGAAAAATCTTTTAATTGGCTTGTGGGCTTGTGCCTAGCACTGATTTTTTTCACCTTGAGTGTTACTATGAATTATATGTTATTTTTTCTTTCTTTTTTTTTTTGCTTCTAAAAGGTAATGGGCTTTATAAATATTAAGCTTATCTAATAAAGGGGTCTGCCAGTAATTTTAAAGAATATAAATTTGCCTCTTAGTAGATTTGGTTATTAGGTTGTATGTAGACAGCCATCTGCTTCAGTTGCATCTGATGTAATTAAAGTAGTTGGTTGTACATTTGAGTTTCTTAGATTCAGAACTGCCCATGACACATTGTAGTTGCGACAAGAAGCAAACTGTAAATGATTTATTTGTCAAATCATCAAGAACTAAAATGAATATGAGGTGCTCGTGCCCATCACTTTTACTTAAGTATTGTTGGATGTGAGAGGTATACAATACACTTTCCCACTGTATTTTGAAAATCAGTTAGATTTTGATTTTGTCATACATTTTCACAGATTGCATCATCAGAGAAAATACACCCAGTCATTTTGCGGTGAAAACATGTAAGCATCTCATTCATAATGTAATTCAGGAGGTATAATCATAATGTCATTTTTGTGTGTGTGTTTAATGGTATCTATTCAATTGACTTCAGGAATTCTCTAACCTTCCTCAATAAAACTTGTAAAATTTCCAAGCTGATGGACATAGGTCTCTTAAAGAAGGGAAATAAAACACCTGTGAGGAAACAGTAGTAAACCCATATAAATAATTCTCTAAATGTGTAGTAGCTATTTTCCCCAAACTAGTAATGGGACTTAATAAAAAGGGTTGGCATTTAAGAAAGAATATATATTCTTTTGACAAATTACATGCTTTATAATTATAGAAGGTAATTGAATTTTCTTCTAATAAAATCGATTTAGAGAAGCTAATTTTCTGATAAAAGTCCTAAGTCAAGAATTCACAAAGTTGTGAATTTTTAAGTGAATTGGACACTGATATTTAAAGGTGAGCTCTTTTAGGGGAAGGAAAATAAATACAGGTTATGTTTTTAAAGTCATGGTTTATTGTTAAATAATTATTCTAAATAAAAATTTAGGCAGCCTAAATACTTTGATTACCTTTAATTTTGGTGGTAGGTTTTCCATGGCCCAACAAAAACAAGTCTTTCTCCATGGTGTACATTCAGTATTTGCTTTTGAAAAATCTGACAATTCTAAAATAGATATTTTTTATTTATATTCTGTGTGTATATTTTCTAAGTGAGACAAAAGGTGATTTTGCTTTCGGGTTACCTATATTTTAGATGAATCCCTCTTGTATGTATGTAGGAGAGTATAATATTTCTTCTCAATGAATTTAATGTATTAAAATGTTTTGTCAATGAGTATTGAATTTTTTCCCTCATTTTACTGGTAAACCCAAGAGTTTTCTGGTTTTTAGAGGATTTATCTTGATAGGATTATTTTAGTATTCATTCAGCTTGATTACTTTCAATATTAGGGGTCAAATTTAAGTCTTTTTATCTATTGTTTCGATCTTTAGCCAAAATATTTTTTAGTAGTTTATACTGTTAACTGACTTTAGTTGTTTCTTGAAATCTGCTTTCTAATAGAATGATGCCAATGGGTGGAATGATGCCACCTGGACCAGGAATACCACCTCTTATGCCTGGTATGCCACCAGGTATGAAATGTTAATTTCATTTTTAATATGATCAACATGCTTTATTAGTATATTTGTGGGCATTGGTGCATTGTAAGTTAGAATTTTCTAGGTTGATGACTTCCTTAAATTACTTAAGGTGTTAAGTTGGACCCCCACTTTTTTGTTTTGTTTTGAAATAGATGTTAAAAAATAGGCTTCAAAGCAGTCAAAATGAATCACAAAGCCTATACACTGAAGCTCATATATTTGAGTGGTTCCGTTTTTTAAGAATTTTTTAGATAAGTAATGGACACTCTTCTGGCAAGTAATAGAGAAATCGAACAAATTATACTAAATAGCATAGGCATTCATTATCTCATTTAACACAAAGAAAGGTAGATTCAGTGGCTTGGTAATATCAAGGACCCATGGTTTTAAAATTTTCTGCTTTGCTAATCTTAGTTTTTCTCCCTCAGACATCACTCAGGTAGTTAAAAGACAATGCTGGCAAGAAAAGGTGTCAACAACAGTGTGCTCTCCTTTTTCTTTTATTAGGGAGCAAAGTACTTCCCAGACGCTCCTTAACTTCTTATATATATATTGGTCAGAAGTAGGACTAATGGACCCTCCAGCTACAAGGGAGCCTAGGAAGTAAAGTATCTTGACTGTTTAGCCTATAATGTGGGGAAAGGGATTTCGTTAGCTAAATAAGTGTGCCACAGAGACCTTCATGATACTCCTTCGGTCAGTTGCCTTGCTTTTTATGCTTAATCCTAGCAAGTTAGATTTGTAAGCCATAGCAGATTTAGAAGTTTACTAAACCAGAAACATCAGCTTAATTGCTGCTTTCTCCATACACAGGGTTTCTAGTGGTATCTTTCACTTATCAAAATTCTGAGGAGATAAAAGGGAATAGAAAGTTTGAACCAAGATTGTTCCAAAGGGCAAATGCCTAAATTCTTTGGACGTGTTGAGTACGGCAGTTAATCATTAGCGACTTACAGTATAAAAGCATTTTCAATGAGGAATATTTTAACAGCGAAGGTTTGGGGAAGATGCTTTTTCCAAACTAAATGTTTCAACAACTGGGTTTCCTACTCCCGAACGTGTCCTCTGTACAGGTATGCCCCCTCCTGTTCCACGTCCTGGAATCCCGCCGATGACACAAGCACAGGCCGTTTCAGCACCAGGTATTCTTAATAGACCACCTGCACCAACAGCTGCAGTTCCTGCTCCACAGCCTCCAGTTACTAAACCTCTTTTCCCCAGTGCTGGACAGGTAAGGTGAAATTTCTGAAAGGAGTATACTTACATTTAAAGGTAAAGTGCAGTTCATAGAAACCTTTGAATTGTCATAGGTCAATTTTTTGTTTATAGTCTTTGTAATATAATTTATTAAGTATACTAAGAAATGGCCTGTTGTCTTCCGTGTCTGCACACACTTATTTCCTCTACCTAAAAGACTGATTGGAGCCAGAGCTGTGTAGTATGTTACTTTTCTGTAGCTGTGAACTCTCGTTATTCTTTGTTTTAGTTAGAAATGAAAGATTAATTTTTGGGGACTTAATTATTAATGATAATGTTCAGAGGCCTCTTTTACCTGTTGAACTATGAGTGGAATGAAACCAAAGCCAAAGAGGAAACTCCTAAGAACTTAGCAAGTCATATTTTGGGCTTTCTCTAGTCTACACTAGTGACAAACTACAATGTTACAATTCTGCTGTCCTTTAATGGCTTTTACCTTGTCACATTTATATTTCCTGCTAGTCTTGTCTTTTTTCAGGACTCGGAAGCTAAAAAATGCTTCTGTTCCATACAATACATATATAATGGTTGTTACCTTTGCTTTTTTTTTTTTTTTTTTTTTTTTTTTTTTTTTTTTTTTTTCAGTTTAATTAAGAATTAAGCACATGTATGTTCAGAATTACAAAATCAGGATGTATGTTCTTAATTTTTCACTTTAAAGTTATCCCTCAGATGTTTTCAATTTTCTGTTTGTACTTGCTAAATTTAAAAGAATTAATTTTTAAATTCCCTTTAAGCATTTAACTTATGTTTTTGATGGGGATGGGGATTTTGTTTATAGAGAGATGTTAAAACATTTGACAAGTCTTTTGTAGAGTAATTGATAGAGAATTGGATTGAAGAGTTAGTAATCATCCTGATTCTCAGTTCAATATACCATTTTTGAAGTATGACAGTGCAAAACACTTTAGTTTTAGAAAAGAAGTTGTGGTTAACTAGGTTTGTTGGGTGTTTTTTTTTTTTTTTTGAGGCTCATAATATCACTTTATTGTAAATGCATTAATTGCCTGCCTCTAAATGCGAGGTTTGATTGCATTATACTTTGCGTTACAAAAAATGCAATCGATACTGAAAAAATCTACCACATGGCTTATATTCACCCATTTGTTTGGAGACTTTTCATTGTTTCCTTTCTTTTATGCTACAGATGGGGACACCTGTAACAAGCTCAAGTACAGCTTCATCCAATTCAGAAAGTCTGTCTGCATCTTCTAAAGCTCTGTTTCCTAGCACAGCACAAGTACGCAGGAAGTTGCAGTTTAAAATTGTTAAAATGGCTTTATTACTTAACCCTTTGGACCCTACTTTAAAACTAAATCTTTCCCCAAAACTATACTATGTTTAATTTTTTTTAAGTAAAATCAATGGTATATATAAATCAGTGATATTTGAAAATCTGAACTCACTAATAAAAACTATACCCCAAACTCATGGTTCTAAAGGGTTAAAAGCATGTAAGCAGTAAATGCATTATAGTGGCCAATGGTTAGCCTGATGCATGATTGAGCTATTTTGATTTACGCTGTTTAATGCGTCACATATAATGTAAGGAAATTTAGTATTTGCATTTGGTTCCAAAGTTGGTCTGGACTACATGTTTCAGATATTTGGTATTCTGAAAAGTATAACACACTACTGGTAGCTTTGTCCTTAAAGGATCTTCCTAAACCCTTTATCTGTGATAATCATCTAGCCATTGTTAATTGGGAGGGCATTGTGTTAACTATAAAAGGAATATCTTTTGAGGAACATAGCCTTAATGTGTCACCATTGATATTAACTGTTTATGCTATGCTTAGTAACTGAAATTCATCCAAACGTTTGTATGTTATAATTTCTAACTTTCTTGTGTTTTGGAGCTGCTTGGTAGATGGATAAAACAACTTGGTAGATTGATTAAACAACTAATTTAGAAGAGTAAAATTAGAACACTCACGCTATTCCATTGTTACATTTTATCAATCTGGGATAAAAACAAAGCTTTATAAATTAAATAATTTTTGGTGAGGAAAGTAGATGACATTTGAGACGTTACATATGCAGTCTTACTTGATTTTTGTTCCCACTGCAGTGTGTTGGATGTGGCTTTGACCTAGCATCTTTGATATTTTTGTGTTGTCTTGAATTTTGTGGAGCATTTATCATGTTAACATTTCAATTTTATGTAAAGTTTTGATTCTTTTTTGAATGTTGGTGTCTTATTTTTAAGTTGAATTTGTAGTAGATACTTGGATTTTGAAGTTTTGTTGACAAAAGATTGTGTTTTACAGGCTCAGGCAGCTGTCCAAGGACCTGTTGGTACAGATTTCAAGCCCTTAAATAGTACTCCTGCAACAACTACAGAACCCCCAAAGCCTACATTCCCTGCTTATACGCAGTCTACAGCTTCAACCACTAGTACGACAAATAGCACTGCAGCTAAGCCAGCGGCTTCAATAACAAGTAAGCCTGCTACACTTACAACAACAAGTGCAACCAGTAAGTTGATCCATCCAGATGAGGATATATCACTGGTAAGTTGTGTACCATTGTAACAACTTGTCCATTTGAAAAGTGGAGATTTTCTTGTACACTGATGGTTTTATGTTCTGATACTATGCTTACTGAGTGGTTTTTTACCATACTTATTAAGAACCACAAAATAAGGTGAATATTGCTTGTTTTGATCTTAGATGCATTCCTTCTCCCCACAGACTCTTTCTAAAAGGTAGCAGTAATTTTGGGTTCTTGCTCTCATTTTAGTTAGACATAGACTTGTAAATTAATTACAGAAATAGTTAAGTGTGAGGTTGAATCTGCAGAACCCTTGAGGCCCATGTACTAGGTAACTTTCTTGCTGGAGTTAATTTATAATTGCTGGAAAGTTGTTAGCCATTCTTCAAATATAAAATGAGGTTTTCTTAAGGCATCAAGCATTTTACATAGTTGCACTGTTTTGTGGAGCAAAAGTGATCTGTTGAGAAGGGCACTTTTTTTTTGAAAATTACTCTTACTCTGTAAGATTTTACATGTTTGACTTTTATGCCTAATGAATCTCTCTGCATTAAGGTGTTTATCATTGTATTTATTTTTATTCCTAGGAAGAGAGAAGGGCACAGTTACCTAAATATCAACGTAATCTTCCTCGACCAGGACAGGCTCCCATTGGTAATCCACCAGTTGGTCCAATGGGAGGTATGATGCCACCACAGCCAGGCATCCCACAGCAACAAGGAATGAGACCCCCAATGCCACCTCATGGTATTCCTCTATTTATGCTTATTTGTATTTAATGGATTTTCTAAGTATACACATAAAACAAATTTATCTGAAAATACATTGCATTTAAAAGTATAATGCACAGACCAATCCAGTCTATTTTTTGTGTTTATGTTTTTTTTTAGGTCAGTATGGTGGTCATCATCAAGCCATGCCAGGTTACCTTCCTGGTGCTATGCCACCATATGGGCAGGGACCGCCAATGGTGCCCCCATACCAAGGTGGGCCTCCTCGACCTCCAATGGGAATGAGACCTCCTGTAATGTCGCAAGGTGGCCGTTACTGATCTTACTTCATCCAGTCTAATAGGTTTGGAGATTAAACCTTTTCTCAACTTGTGCTGTTTATATAGCCAAGCTTCCGTCAATAAGGCTTCATTGTGACTTTAACAAACATTATCTTCCCACATACCAGGAACTATTGGACATTTATTTTACATGGGAAATTTATTTGGAATAATAAAGCAGGAACTTTTCCTGAAGTTGCAATTTATACTGTATGGCTTCTTTTTCATGTTTCATCTAGGTTTTTAGAAGTGAAGTATAGTAAATTTGGTTCGTTATATTGTGAAGGCGCTGGAATTACATGAACATACCACCTTAATTAAAGGCAAGTTCTGTAAGCTTACATTGCTATTTGTAAAGTTATGCCTTCACAGCATTTCAGATGCTGTTGGACTCCATGTCCCCAACCTAGCTTGGTGAGGGCTGTAACTGTTTCCAAGTACCTGTACATTGGAACTCTGAATGTATAACAATATTTAATGTATTTAGAATTCCTCATGTTGCAGGGTTTAAGAAATCTGGCCCACCAAGGTCATGTGACTTTTCTGTACTGTTAAACTTCATTGTAATAAAATGAGAGAAAAAATTATGCCTTTTTATTCATAACCCAGCTGTGGACCACTGCTTGAAAGGTTTGTACAGATGCTTGCCACAGTAGATGTCCACGTAATAAAATTCATAGTTACCAGTACAGTTTTGATACATCATTGGATTCTGTCTTTCAATGGAAGATTGTTCTTAAGCTGCATGTTTTAGACTGAACGGCATATATAGAACTGCTAGTGCTTCGGTTGAAAGAAAAACCTAGATACATATGAGTCATTACATAATGGGTATGAAATTTTATATTTTGTCACCTTTCCACTCCTTTAGTGTCAGTACATGTTAGATGTCATAGACACTTTAAGCCTTACATTACCTCTTTCCTACTGCTGCTGTTTGAGCCTAGTGCCAGACCCATTGATTTCCTTCTGATTATTTTTGAGACTGCAGTACTGCATGGACCTCAGAAGCTTTTCAGGTGTATATATACTTCTAGAGGCTTAGGTGCATGCAGTAGTAGCTTTTTATGCTGTTAATGGATTGGTATATGTTATAAGTGTAGTGGATTTGAAATTTTATTTTGTTTCTGGAAGATTATATCCTTTGGGGTGGCTGCCCTCTGTTATTCTAAAAGGCTTTATTGTTAACTTTTTCATTCTTGGAAATCGGAATATTACGTTCATAGAACTTTGCTGTGGAGATAACTGCTATTGATCAGTATCTTGTGTTACAAGTCTCATAATAATAGCTCTTATTAACCTTTTTTAGGGATCCATTTTTTCTATCTTTACATTCGCAGGGTAGTTTTGTGATTATTGAAATATTGAATGACCTGTACAAAGTATAAGAATATAATGAACTCAAGTTGAGTTTTCCTCAATATGAAGTTAAGACTTCTGAGAAAATGGTAACCTTTCTTTATAACCTTTATGTCAAGGTGTAGATTGAAGACATGAAATACAAAGTTTCATTTAGAAGAACAGTCTTTAACATTGTAGGAAAATACTGTAAAATCATGTTTTAATCATAGAAGATCTTATATATAGGTGACAACAAGTAAAAATCATTCATTTAAACAAAATATTGCAAGTACTACAAAGCTATTTTAACTATATTTTGCTCCAGTAAAATGTTTTATAGCTCCTGTGTTGTACCATTAAGGTTTGAAATACTACATAGTTTGAAAAGGCAACAACATGTGTCACCAATAATGCATATCTTCCTTCAGCCAGCAGCCAAGCACATTACCCCATACTGCACCACATACTTGTCTACCTAGTTTTGAAATTAATACACACTTATATTTGGCAGCACTTTTACTACACTGCCAAAGAAAAACCTTTGTTAAAAATCTTTAAGGTAAAAATGTAATGAGTAAGTTTAGAATGATTAAATAGGAACTATTATCCCAAACCAAATGTCTCTTAAGCATTTCATATACAGGCTTATCAACAATCTAAAAATGGGTTAGTAATGTTTTAAATATTATACAAAGCTTTATTTGCCTTTAATGCAAAGAAAACAAGTATTTTTTTATTAAGATTTGCTTTCTGAGGTCAAAAAGGAGAAAATATTACTACTTTTAAATTAGTGATAGAATTCTAATTAAAAATTAATTCAAAGTGTTAACGCATGGCACCTAAATTTAGCATGCCATCTCCTGTGTGTTTTATAGGTAGGTATATGACTGGTGGTGCACATTCGGTGTACTTAAGTGTAATTTATGCATGCATCAGAGCATACTTAAGCTTCTAGAAAATACCTTTTATCTAACTGCTTCTGGGGTCCATATAGTACTGTTAAAATCATGAGTGAAACAAATTATGTTGAAAAATTAACTCTGACTTATGCTTCCTTAAATAATAGATAGGAGTTGAAGTAAACTAAACTTCATCTGTCTTCATAGAAGATAATTTTTAGAATTTGATATATTCAGGTAGGCATTGCGATTGCCACCGTAATTCAGGAAGTAGTAAGATTAATGGGCTGCCAGCTTTGGCTCTCCTTTACATCTAGTCTTGTATCACCTTTTTTTTTAAAAATAGGAAAAAGATCTAAACATTTTGTCTGGCACTAGTTTCTATTGTATAGATTTTACTACTATATGACAGTAACAAGATCAGCAGGTGAGGATCAACTTTTGAGTGGCTGCTGGAATTATCATTTAATTTGAAAACTTAATATTTTAGTAGTCTCTCACATTTGCCACTAGGAATGAGGAAAATACTCCTCGTATACTCCTATTCCACTGATCAAGTTATATAATGAACTTAAACTCAGCTTAAACTTATGGGGGGAGATCCCCAACAAAAACAAGAGCTCAGAATGGATTTATAGTGGACAATAGTTTTTTTAAGAAGAGCTGCTCTCTTTTCCTTTGCTTGCTTGATCATTGGGATTTTTTTTTTATTGCATGTCTTTTAAATTAATTGGGTAATGTTTTTCTAAAATTAAAATTTTCTTCTTCCTATAGCCCTGCCATAGGACAGGCTGAGGCTGAGTCTCAGTGTTGCCCTGTTCAGTCTGAGGCAAGTGGGATTTATTTTATTCCTTACAGGGGCTTTCACAGCTTTATGGCTGTTGGATATTTATGTCCCCAAACTTGCAGCAAGTTTGGTGAAGGCCCCTAAATTTAATTAAACTTAGGATTTTCATACTCTTTTGGCAGAGAAGGCTCTATATTAATATTCATGTTTGTGGTGTTACAATAAATAGTATTTGATATCTATAACTTCATATAATTTACTTTGTGTAGATAATATTTAACAGCCTCAGTAAAGCTGGTATTGCTATATTGAACTTGAGTAAATTGATAAAATTTGACATTCTTGATTTGGAGGCATGGAATGTTTCATTCAAATTTTCCACTTTTACTTTCAGGAAAATCTTACTGGTTGTTTTTTCCTCAAACTATTAAATTTAACCTCAAGGATAAGTTTAAATATTGGAAATGCCACTGGATACTGAAGTTTGCATTCTTAATCCCAAAGTTACACATTGAACATTAAGGTTGAAAGGTCATCTGCAAAGGCTTATGCTAGTATTTTCAAGTTCACCACATTAGAGCAAATGTTAATGTAGAGCCCTGTGAAGAGTGGGATGGGAAGATGGTGTGTGTGGTGTTTGGTATACCCTACACATATATAATAGAAGTTTGGGTATTACACACCTGTCAGGATGGATAGATTACTAATTTTCAGGTAGCCAAACTGGAATTGTATCATGTGGTAGTTAGTATACTGAACTGTGATTTCTGAACATTCTGAGATTTATTTTCAGGTTCAGTATTTAAAATTACTTGAGTAATTTATGCAATATGCACACACAAAAAGTATCCACATTTGTTTTCAAGTAAGATTTGCTTTTATTTGGTGAGAAAGTTGTGTTTATGTGTGTATGTTGTAGGGAGTCAAGAGGAAACTGGAAGAAAGGCCAAAACAAACCTGAATTAGTTTTGTTCATTGCTGTGTTTTTAAGCCACTATTCTAACCAGATAACATTTTCCTCTGAACAGTAACAATTACCATATAATACAATCTTTAGTGAACCCAGGATTGTGTTGCTATGTGGTTTTAAATCTTGGAAGCATAAAGAAAAAATGTGCATTAACTGAATTTCTTATTTTCACCTTTGTAAGTAGAACATTTTTCTTCACTGAATCATGGGAAAAAATTCTAATGTTTGCAAAAATAATTTTGTTGCAACAGAAATATTCTATTGAAATATTTTTAATCTCAGTAATTGCACTGTTTAAGTCTCCTTAGTGGGAGATGTTTCTTTTTCACCTAGCATTCCCCAATATACTGAATTATTTCAAGAGTGAAGCCACGTGTCCTCATTCTAACAGTGATAAATAATTATCATTGAAATAGGCTCTGATAATACTTGAGTACTGGGAGTGGGAAGGATTTTTAAGAGTGGCATAATTTGTTGAAGGTCTTACCTAACTAAGGTGTAATTTCTTTGCTATCTGTGTGACTCAGACAAATATAATTTTGAGAATTAAAAAACTTTCACGTATCTTCTATGTCTGTTGGTAAAAGTTAGTAAATGAAAGGAAATGTTGAAGTAACTTTACCGAGATTAAAATTTTGAGTAAACTGATGTTTGTATTGTTTAAGGGATAAAAAAAACCATGTGCCCTAAAAATTTTGTATAAATCAGTTACATGTTTAAAAATATAGTATTCACCTACTTAATATCGAATAACTTTTGTATGTTACTCCAAAACAAAATGTTTTTTTTCTTACTGTAACTTTTATGAAAAAGTCTTCTAAAAAAGGAGGGATTCAGTTAATAAGACTAGAATGCAGATTGTTGTAAGTAAACCCCCCAGTTAACACTTCTGCTTGCCATCTCATGACTTGAATATCAGTGAAGATTTAATCCTTTTTTTACCCTTTATTCTCAGTATTTTGTTTTCTGTCACCTGAATCATTTTAATAAATAACCTTTTGTTTTCATAGCATAGAAATCATCTAACTTTTCTGTGTGATATTTCTTGGCAAAATAAGAATCATTTACTTTAATGGTATTGTATATAGTGTCATGCACATAGTGGGTATTCACAATTTTGTGATTTGAATTTACAGAACTGTATTTTAATATCTTTACTCTTGGGCATCCCCTATTATGGATTTAATTCATATTAATGGAGAAAGCAGGACTTCAGTTTGAGCTCCTTCAAAGTATTTCCTACTTTGCCAAGTGTTTTCACGGTCTTATTTGGCATTTTTATTGGGAAATAAGTTTGAAGATAGCATTTTCTTAAAAATAACAGTTATTCAGTACAGCTCAGAAGGGAAATTGCTTTTTATAAACTTGTATTTCCTGTTCTGGGTTCTATACACTCTTTCATAATAATTTGGCTATAAAAGGTAGACCTTTTTGTTTTCCTCCCAGTCCTGGGAAGAGCTTGACAGTGAATTTAGTTTGAAATATTTGAATCATCACTCTTAAAATATCTATTCATTTAATCTCATATATTCTCAGGGGAAAATATCTTTATTTTACCAAGCAGGATATAGAAGTCATATTAAGGCAGAAATTAGAGAAAAGGAGATCATCACTGAAGCTAATTTGAGCTATTCCTATTTGAATCAAATTGAACACCATATTACATAACCCATCACTCATTCATGGTTAGGT